ACATATAAAGCATTTTCAAGCATGTAAAACCCACAATCTCTTTTTTTCCTTGATTGCATTGCTTCAAGTAGTTAATGTAATGTAAAACATATTGCATTTTTTATTCTATGAGTTGCCTTTGTAGCATGCCCCTCAAGGCAAGCCCAAACAAGTCTATGTTAGGGTCTGAAATTCTTATTTCTCACATAAAAAATAATGATTTTACAACTTTCATTGCCTTTTAAGAAGATATTTTATTGCAATGAATGAATAAACAACATCAGCAAATAGGAGGTTCTCTCCTCTTTGATTCACTTGCTTCGCTCGCTTGCTTCGCTCCTCACCAGTTCGCTTGCTTCGCTCGCTCACCGAAGCTCCGAGAACCCCCTATTTATTGTTGTTGTTGTTTATTCATTCATTATTTTTTATGTGAGAAATAAGAATTCCAGACCCTAACATAGACTTGTTCGGGCTTGCCTCAAGGGGCGTAGTCGGAGGTCCAAGGGTGGAGCCCCCAGCCCAACCGTTAGACTCAAAAAAAGCAAAAAGCACAAAATTTTAAAATGGTGCATGCCTAGGCTGAGGCGCAAGGCGCATCAGGCGCGCGCACCTTTTGAAAGAGGTGCGCCTAGGACCTAGGCGAGGCGCATACCCCAAAATGCGCCTCGCATGTGCACCTAGGCGCACCTCAGGCACGACTTTTAAATCAATGATTAACACATACATTAATAAGATACATCAATATAAATGACATTATAAAAGGCGCCTGCCTTGTCATTTTTGTCGCCTAGGCCGCCTAGTTGGTAAAAGTCAAGGCGTTTGGGCAAGGCGCCCAGCCAAGGGCGCCTAGTCGCCTAGGCAATGCCTTGACAACTATGCTCCATAGGCTTCTTTAAGACTGATTTCTGGACGGGCCCGAGTCTCACCCATTTTTGTGCAGACCATAGATACTCTCAATCACCAAGTGCCACAAAGCCTCCCTCTCCTCCAAAACCATTTAACTAACAATGCCATGTTTTTCTCTTGCAACCTTCCTAATCCCAACTCTCCAGCCCAATTAGGCCTACACACATCCTCCCCATTCATAAGATGCTTCTTCTTATCTCCCCCCATATCCCACAACAAATTTCGCATTAACTTTTCTAATCTTTGCATTACCTTCCCTAGGGCTCTAAAAACTAACAAGAAGTAAATTGGAAGGTTGGGCAAAATGGACCTAATTAAAGTTACCCTCCCACCCTTCAAACAAGTAGTTATTTTTCCAAGTAGCCAACTTCTTCTCAAACCTCTCAATTATCCTTCCCAAAAGGAACCCTCCCTTGGGTTGCCACCTAAGGGTAAGCCTAGATATTTTAGTGGCCAAGTTTTTATCCCACACCCTAGGATTGCTGCAAACTCCTCTAACTCCCTTTCATCCATCTGCATACCTACTAGACTACACTTTTCTGAATTGATATTCAAACCTGAAATTTTCTCTACAATCTCCAAAATATTCCTCACCTTTCTTACATCCTGATCACACCTAAACTCACCTAAAATGAGGGTATCATCTGCAAACTATAAATGAGACACCACTTGATCTTGTCTCCCCACCCTTAGGCCTTTAAGAAGAACACGCTCATCCACTCTTTTCAACAATTTACTGAAAAACTCCACACCAAAAATAAAAAGCAAAGGAGACAAAGGATCTCCTTGTTATCCCTCTAGTTGCTTTAAAGAAATCCTTTGGGGAGCCATTAATAAGAATTGAGAAATGAGTGATCTTCAAACATCCTATCATCCACCTAATCCACCCGGTCCCAAACCCCATTTTTTCCACCACCAACTCAAGATAACCCCAATCAATATGAACATAAGCCTTCTCTAGATCCAGCCTGTATACAAAACCTTTCTTCCCTGCTCCTGCAATCCCACACTGACTCATTGACTATTAAAATTTGATCTAATATCTGTCTATCTTTGACAAAGGCTCCCTGTTCCCTTGATACCACAAAGTGAATCACATTCTTTAACCTTATAAATAAAACCTTAGCCACAATCTTCTATAAGCTGATTGTAAGGCTTATTGGTCTAAAATGATTTAGAGAAACCGCTCCTACACATTTTAGGATTAAAGAAACAAAATGTGGCATTCATTCCTTTCCCAATGTTTCCTCTTCTATGAAACTCATCAAACACTTCTTTCAGATCCTCTTTGACAATCTCCCAACATTCATGATAAAAAGCCATTGGAAATCTGTCAGGTTCAAAGGCTTTACCTCCACTAATAGCCTTCACTGCCCTCCTAATCTCTTCCAAGGAGAACGGTTCCTCGAGTTTAG